TACATTTTGGAAAACTTTCACAAGGATGTGTATTAGGTCTTCACTAAATATTTGATAAAATTCAGTAGTGAAGCCATCTGGTACAGGTGTTTGTTCTTAGGTAGTTTTTTCAATTTCATTGCTGGTAATTGCTGTGTTCAGATTATCTGTTTCTTTCTGAGTCATTCTTGGAAAGTTGTATTTTTCTAGAAAGTTGTCCATTTCTTCCAGGTTATCCAGTTAGCATATAATATTTCATAGTATTCTCTAATAATTCTTTGTATTTCTGTGGTGTCCGTAGTGATTTTTCCTTTCTCATTTCTGACTCTGTTTATGTGTGTAGACTTATTTTCTTGGTATGTCTGGTTAGGGGGTTATCTATTTTGTTTATTTTCCCAAAGAACCAGCTCCTGCTTTCATTGATTCTTTCCATTGTTTTATTCTTCTCGATTTTATTTATTTCTGCTCTAATCTTTATTATGTCCTTCCTTTTAATGACTTTGGGCCTCATTTGTTCTTCTTTTTCTAGTTTCATTAATTGTGAGTTTAAACTGTTCAGCTGGGATTGTTCTTCTTTCCTGAGGTAGGCCTGTATTGCAATATACTTCCCTCTTAGCATGGCCTTCACTGCGTCCCACAGATTTTTGTGCTGTTGAATTATTGTTGTCATTTGTCTCCATATATTGCTTGATATCTGTTTTTACTTGGTCATTGATCCATTGGTTATTTAGGAGCATGTTATTAAGCCATGTTTTTGTAGGCTTTTTCATTTTCTTTGCATAACTTATTTCTAATTTCATACTTTTGTGGTCTGAGAAGCTGGTTAGTAGAATTTCAATCTTTTTTAATTTACTAAGGCTCTTTTTGTGGCCTAGTATATGATCTATTCTTGAAAATGTTCCATGGCACTTGAGAAGAATGTGTATCCTGCCACTTTTGGGTGGAGTACTCTGTAGATGTCTGTTAGGTCAATCTGTTCTAATGTGTTGTTCGGTGCCTCTGTCTCCTTACTTATTTTCTGTCTGGTTGTTCTGTCCTTTGGAGTGAGTGGAGTGTTGAAGTCACCTAGAATGAATGCATTGCCTTCTGTTTCCCCTTTTAATTCTGTTAGTATTTGTTTCACATATGTAGGTGCTGCTGTGTTGGGTACATAGATATGTATAATGGTTATATCCTCTTGTTGGATTGACCCCGTATCATTATGTAATGTCCTTCTTTGTCTCCTGTGACTTCCTTTGTTTTGAAGTCTATTTTGTCGGATACTAGTACTGCAACTCCAGCTTTTTTCTCCCTGTTAGTTGCATAAAATATCTTTTTCCATCCCTTCACTTTTAGTCTGTGTATGTCTTTGGGTTTGAAGTGAGTCTCTTGTAGGCAGCCTATCAATGGGTCTTGTTTTTTTATCCATTCAGTGACTCTTTGTCTTTTGATTGGTGTATTCAGACCGTTTACATTTAGGGTGATTATTGATAGGTATGTACTTATTGCCATTGCAGGCTTTAGATTCGTGGTTACCAAAGGTTCAAGGGTAACTTCCATACTATCTTAGAGTCTAACTTAATCCACTTAGTATGCTATTACAAATACAATCTAAAGGTTCTCTTTTTTCTTCCCCTTTTTCTTCCTCCTCCATTCTTTATATATTAAGTATTATATTGTGTTCTCTTTGTCTGTTCCTTGATTGACTTTGGGGGTAGTTGATTTAATTTTGCATTTACTTGGTAATTGACTGTTCTACTATCTTTACTGTGGTTTTATTACCTCTGGTGAGAGCTATTTAGCCTTCGGAACACTTCCATCTATAGCAGTCCCTCCAAAATACACTGTAGAGATGGTTTATAGAAGGTAAATTCTCTCGGCTTTTGCTTATCTGGAAATTGTTTAATCTCTCCTTCAAATTTAAATGATAATCTTGCCCACAGTATTCTTGGTTCGAGGCCCTTCTGCATCATTGCATTAAATATATCATGCCACTCCCTTCTGGCCTTGTAAGGTTTCTGCTGCAAAGTCTGATGATAGCCTGATAGGTTTTCCTTTGTAGGTAATCTTTTTTCTCTCTCTGGCTGCTTTTAATAGTCTTGATCTTTGCCATTTTAATTATTATATGTGTTGGTGTTGTCTTCCTTGGGTCCCTTGTGTTGGGCGATCTGTGCACCTCCATGGCCTGAGAGACTATATCCTTCCCCAGATGGTGTAAGTTTTCAATAATAACCTCCTCAAAGTCACTTTCGAACCCTTTTTCTCTCTCTTCTTCTTCTGGTACCCGTAGAATATGAATACTGTTCTGTTTGGATTGGTCACACAGTTCTCTCAATATTCTTTCATTCCTAGAGATTCTTTTTTCTCTCGGTGCCTCAGCTTCTTTCTATTCCTCTAATTTTTATTTCATTTATCATCTCCACCATATCTAATCTGTTTTTAAAACTTTCCATTGTATTCTGTAATGTTTGGATTTCCGATTGGAATTCGTTCCTGAGTTCTTGAATATTTTTCTGTACCTCAGTAAGCATGTTTATGATTTTTATTTTGAAATCTCAGGAAAATTGACAATGTCAGTTTCACTTGATCCTTTTTCAGGTGTTTGAGGAATTTTTGTTTGAATCAGGTTGCTTTGACATTTCAGGTTTGTATGTGGTGCCCTCTAGTGCCCAGAAGCTCTACCTGTTTGGAGCTGCTCGGCCCCTGGAGCGATGTCGGGGGTCGCAGGGGAGTACCTGGGGGGGAGGTGCTGGTGCCTGGGGAGGAGGAAAGAGCTGTTTTCTGCTTCCCAGCTGTTAATGCCTGTCTCCACTGCCAGAACCAGTGGCCCAAACACATAGGTGCAAGCCTCTATGCTTTGGGTTAGTAGTTGCCTTAGGTGGAACTTCCTTCTGGCTGTCTGATGCCAGGGCAGGGGCTGCCAGTTTGTGAGCCAGGTGTGGACTGGCCAGGAAGAAGGCGCAGCAGGCTGTGTATCATGGTGGGGGACCTTGGAACTGCATATCCTGCCTGGGTGATAGAGCACCTGTAGCTCCTGAAAATTCCCAACCTTCTGGGCATAGTGAGCCTGGATAATTTTGTCTACCTGTTTTTTCTCCTTAGCAGTAATCTCTGTGTACTCCTTGCCCCTTTAGCAGCCCACTTGCTGTTAGGAAGTCTCTCAGACCACCCACCTTTCTTTTATCCTAGAGCAGCCAGATGTGAAACCCTGTTTTCCGCAAGTGGCTGGAATCTCAGTCTCTCCGATTATTCCGCCTGTCTTAGCTTTCCAACCCCACTAATCACCAAAGCACCATGGAATATAGGTTTGTGCTCCCAGAGCAGATCTCCAGGGTTAGGTGTTCAGCGGTCCCAGGCCTCCACTCCCTCCCCGCTCCATTTGTCTTCCTCCTGCCAGTGAGCTGGGGTGGGGGAAGGGCTTGGGTCCCACTGGGTCACTGTTTTGGTACGTTACCCTGTTCCATGAGGTCTCTTCTTTTCTCCAGGTGTATGTAGCCTGGCGCAGCCTTCTTTCCTGTTGCTTTTTTCAGGGTTAGTTGTATTAATTATGTTTTCATATTATATGTGGTTTTAGGAGGAGGCCTCTGTCTCACCTCTTACGCCGCCATCTTTAATATAATAATCACTTACTAGTTTTGGATTTTTATTGTTGTCAAGTCTTTTAGATATCCTACATAGACAATCGTGTCATCTTGACTTAAACAACTTTTTTTCTCTCCCCTATCAGTATACTTTTTATTTTCTTTTCTTGTCATACTGCATTAACTAGTACTTCCAATATTATGTGAGGGTGAGAGGGAACATCTTTGCCTTACTCTTGATCATAGCAGGAACACTTCTTGTTTGTCACCATAAGTATGATAGTAGCCAAAGATTTTATTTTAAATGAAGCTGAGGATATTCTCCTCTATTCCTGATTTGCATTCCTTCCTTTTAAAGTCTGAATAATATTCCACTGTTGTTTATCCATTCACATTTGTTGTGAATTGTTTACCCATTCCTCTATCAGCAGGTAGTTGGGTTATTTTCACCTTTTGGATATTGTGAATAATGCTGCTATAAACATGGGTGTACAAATAGCCCTTTAAGACCCTGCTTTCCATTCTTTTGGGTATCTAACCAGAAGTGAAATTGCTGGATCAGTCATACAGCAATTTTTAAAAGATTTTTGGAGACCTAACATGCAAAATTTTGTACACATGGATGTTTAGTGCACTAATGCTTATAATAGGAAAAGTAAGGAGGCAGCTTTGCTTTGTATCACTTGGTGACTGGCTGCATAATTGTGGCACATCCATTACAGTGACGTATTCGACAGCTATTTAGAAAGTTCTGGTAAATATGTATGTTTTGACATGTAAAAATGTCCAAATATATTGTAATATAAAAAAAGCAAACTACAAAATAATATGTGTAATATGAACCTGTTTTTATTTTAAACCATATGTGTATGTGTATTTCAAAAATTTTTAAGTAAAAAGATACAATTCTCTATATAGGTTATGGGGATAGAAGATTGTAAGTGCAGTAGAAGAGCAGACTTTTATCTTACTACTTATATTACTGCCTCATCTCAGGGTTTTCAAGAAGCAGTTTTATAAGCAGAAAAGCCAATTTGAGTGGTTGTATTTTTGGGAAAAAAAGTTTAACCTCATATATGTATGTAATGCAAAAAAATGGAAAGTGTTTCATTTAGTAATTGTTTTATGTTTATATACAATGTCAAATGCAAGTCACTGGGGTCTTTTGAATATCTTTTCATTGTTATATTTTTATTGTTCTGTGTCATACCAGCATTATTTACTGTTTTGTGACCTGAAGTGTAAAATTAGTAAATGTCCTTCAAAATGGTTTTACATGAGGAAAATATTCTGCCATTTTTAGGTCATATTTGAATGTTGCTTCCCATTTCCTATGACTTGGTGTGGTGAGGGTATGTAGTGAAAGTGGAGATTTTCTCTGCTGGTGAGGAAAATCTCTCATAGCTTAAGCATTGTGTTACATTACACATTGAATCCTGTTCTTTGACTTTTTTCTGACAGTAAATCTTCATGGAGGAACACGGAGTGACCCAAACCGAACACATGGCTACCATAGAAGCCCATGCAGTGGCCCAGCAAGTACAGCAGGTCCATGTGGCCACCTACACTGAGCACAGTATGCTGAGTGCTGATGAAGACTCACCTTCATCTCCTGAGGACACCTCTTATGATGATTCAGATATACTCAACTCCACAGCAGCTGATGAAGTAACAGCCCATCTGGCTGCTGCAGGTAATGTTTAGATTGGAAGCTCTTCATTTTCTACTTAATTTTGATACTGTGCATATCTGAAGAATCTAGGCCACAGGCACTCTCAACATTTATCTTCGTATCTATCACATATTCATAAATTTTTTTTTGCCTTGCACTTGCAGTGTGTCTATATTAATACTGAGTCTTAACTTCTAGAACCCATCCTAGTCATATAACTTGGGTTTTGTTTTTTATTTCTCCTAGCAATCTTTTGACTTTTAACTGAAGCGTTTATTCTGTTTACATAAAATGTTACCACTAATATATTTAAATTTAAAATTATTACTATATGGTTTCTCTTTGTCCCACTAGTTCTGTTTAATTTTCCATCATGTTTTCTTTTAGAGTGTTAGAGAAGTTTTGTTTTTCATTTTTACATACACTTTTACCATTAATAATATCCCTAGAAATTATAACATATATTCTTCACTTATTTCAAAGTCCTATGTAATTGCTACTTTTTTCCTCTTCGGGGATAATGCAAGTTTCTTAGAACACTTGGATTTCATTCCCCTGCTCCTGACCTATATGTTGTTGTTTTGTGTATTAATTCATTGTATATTTTAAGACCTGCAAGGCAGTATTTTCATTTTATATATGTTTATTTTTTCCTTTATATTCAACTTGCCTTCTGAGAATTTTTCTTCTGCCTAAAGATACCATATAGTATTCCTTCAGCAGGGATTTGCTAATGGCAAAGTCTCTTAGTTTTTACTTCTCTGAGATGTTTTTACTTACCGTTCAGTCTTAAAGCATGTTCTCTCTGGGTATGGAATTAAGTTGGCAGTTATTTTCTTTCTTCATATTGAAGGTATTATTCCACTGTCTTATGGTGTCTTATGTTTGACTCTCACAGCTGCTCCTTTGAAGATTATTTCTTACAAAGGCTCCTTTCCCAACTGCTTTTTAAGATTTTCTCTGTCTAGTTTTTGTTGTATATCTGGCCCTGGATTTCTTCTCATTTATTCTGTTTAGGGAGTCTTTAATCATCTTGAATCTTTGGATTGATGTCTTTCATTAATTCTGGACTCTTAGCCACTAGATTTTTGCTTCGGTTTTGCTTCTACTCCATTCCATCTTTTTTTCCTTCTGTGACTCCAATTAAATATGTTAGTCTTCCCACTGAGTCTTTAATGTCTCTGACCCTCTCTCTATTCTGTATTATCATCCTTTTATCTCATTATGCTTCATTCTATGTAATTTCTTTAGACTGTCAGTCTTTCAATTTGTTACTTTTTTCTTCAGCTGTGTCTAGGGTGCTTTTAAATCTGTCCATTGAGTTGCTAATTTTGGTAATAGTTAATAGTTTTGTTTTATTTTCTAGCTTTAGAATTTTTAGTGTGTGTTTATTCTTCCCAAATTTGTGTATTAGAGTTTCCAGTTGTGGTAGAAATTTTTTTTTAATCTCCATGAGTAAAGTAAGCATTATGATTTTACAATCCATTGGTTATTCTACTCTGAAGTGCCTGTGAGTTTTTTTCTCTTATGTGTTAATGCTGTCTCTTGTTCATGTTGGTTTTTCTCTTCATATATTGGTTATATTTGAACAAATGCTTAGTGGTATGTTTGGGAAATTATGTTTAGAAATAATTTGGGATCTAGAATAATATTAACATATTCTAGAGAGGATTTTTGTTTTCTTCTCTGAGGTACCTGAGAGTACCAGAAATCTTGGATCATCTTAATCTAATTTAAGGTTTTGAGATTTTTCTGGGCCACTTAATTACTTAAAGCTGGACTATATTTTATACCATTCTCTTTGCTATTTACATTAGCACCTTGTGGAAGGCTCCATGTAAACTATGCCTGAATGGGTTTAATATTGTATAAGGAACATTGATCTTAAAAGATATTTAGGAACAGCTGAACAGGAAAAAATTATCAGGAATGGCCAAAGTACTATGTCTTTTTAGTATATGCTGTAATTAAGGGGAGGAGATAAATGCAGTAAATAATAATCTTATTACTGTCAGTTATTATCCACTGTGTATTTCTGCAGTGGTAAATTTAAAAATAAGACTTAATGGAATGTTTGTAAAATTTATTTTTGAAATTTTTGTACTTCCCAGAAGAGGGCATCCTAACATAGTGAATCCAGGTCAACTTCTGTCCTAGGAATAAAGATGCTTTGATATATTGTTTTGCTGTATGACTGTACTGCATTATCATAGTGTTAAGATTAGAAAAGGACTTTAATCCAACCTTTGCATATGACAAATGTGGAAACTGAGGCCAGGTTGGTAGAAATAATTTACCATTTAATCATTCAACAGTTATTGAGGAATTACTGTATACTCTATATCACTGTATATAGATATTATGACAAAACAGGTAAGAACTTGCTCCTATAGGAGCTTACAAACCAGTGGTGAGGAGAAGGGTACAAATAATAAAATAATTTCCAGAAAGCACTGAGTGCTCTAAAGAAAATAATAAAGTAAGGTAAATGGAGAGGGAGGGGTAAAGGGTTGCTGTTTTTTCTAATCCTATTCCCTTTCCTCCCTGAAACTCTGTAGCCACTATTCTGAATATGGCCTTCATCATTCTCTTGATTTCTTTTATGTTCTTGCTGTATGTGTATGTATCATAAACAATACTTAGCATTGTTGTGCATGTTTTAAGTTTTATATGATCTCACTCTAATCCTATCTTTCTGTAACATTATGTTTATTTTATTCAGTATTATTTTTCTGAAATTTGGTAATTTGACTGTATGTTTTCATTTGAACTGTTATTTGGTATTCATTCACTGTCTGAATATCTCATATATTGTTAGAACACTTAGGTTGTTCATAATTTTTTGCTACTACAATTACAGAAAATGAAAATTATTTATATGTTTTCTTGTGCACATGGTGAGTTTCTTTGGCCTTGGTTTGACAATATCCCACACTATTACATTTGACATTGTGATCTAGAATAAACAAATGCACATAAAACTGCAATAACAATTTCACAGGAAGTAATACCTACCCCTACTGCAACTGACACTCTTGCTGATATGTTCATTTCTTTCACTTTATTCTGTTTTATTAAAAAATACTGCTCATGAGCCACCAAAGGGCGGAAATCTGCTATTTGAGAAACACTGCTTGAGGGCGTACCAGGAGGAGAGTTGGAAGACAAAGATAGCCATTTTCAACTTTACTAGATATCCATATGTCTTTCTAAATCATTATATTAATTCCCACAAGCAGTGTACTAGCAGACTGCCTTTTGCTTCTCATCTCATCACATTTGGTATTGTCAGTTGTTTTTCATCTTTGCCAGTCTGATTGGTATGAAACAGTATCTCACTGTTGGTTTAATTTGCTTTTCTCTAGCTTGAGGTTCCAGCCAGTACAGGAAGACAAGATAAAGCACTATTTCAGATCTTTATTGACTATTCACTTTTATTCTTTTGCATATTTCCTTTTTATATCTTTGTCCATTTTCCAAGTAGGTTGTTTGTCTTTTTCTTGTTGATTTGTAAGAGTTGATATATCTTTAATATTATTCTTTTCTCAGTAATATATATTGTAGTTATCTTCTCCCTGTTTGTTACCCACTCCCTCCCTCAATTTGTCATTTCTTTTTGTCCATAAAGGTTTTGATTTTTATTGTGAAATTTATCAGTCTTTTAACTTATAGTTTAACCTTTTGCAGTCTTGTTTAAGAAATTCGTCTTACACCCTGAGTTTATAAATAATCTAGTAGTTTATTGTAGAAGCTATAAAGATTTTTGTTGGTTTGTTTTATTTTACTGATGTTTTACATTTGGTCTTTAATCCTGGGATTTAATTTTGTGTATGATATGATGTAGAGATCTAGTTGCATTATTTTTCCATATTGACAATCAGTTGTCCCAACTCCATATTTTTAATAGTCCATCCTTTTCCCACCTCTTGTCTTCTGATACAGGAGAGTGTGAATGATTAATTCAATTACATTGATTTATTTAATCCCCCCATATTGGGATTTTAATTTGAATTGTACTGAATTTATAAATTAATTAACTAAATTAAGTAGCTTTGCTCCTAAGAGCCTAAACCTATAAATAGCTTGATTGTCCATCAAGAAGATAATGGATAAACTGGTTTATTCATACTTTGGAATATTATTCAGCAATCATAAGCTATTGATATATAACAATATTCAGCAATAATAAGCTACACATATAACAATGTGGGGGAATCTCAAAAACATTATTCTAAGTGAAAGAAACCTTACACTTACTGTACATGTACAGTTCCACTCTTTGAAGTTCCAAAATTGGAAGAACCAGTGTAGGGTGAAAAATACTGGAATTATAGGTTCCTGTGGGAGGTAATGTGGGAACTGACTGGGAAGGAGCATAAGAACTTTCTATAGTGATGGTGTTATTACATATCTTGATAGAGAATTGGTTTCATAGGTATATACATTTTTCAAAATTTACAGAATATCACTATGTAAGAATTTGTTCTCCATGTAAGAACTTGTTCGTTATGCTTCAGAAGATTGGAGACTGACGAAAATTAGGCTTGGGGTGGATTAATGATTGTGCATTGAGCATTGAGTCCCCTGTACAGAATTTTATTGTTGTTAACAACCATTTGATCAATAAATAGGAGAGATGCCCTCACAGAAAAAAAATTTTAAAAAAGTACACACTTCCAATTGTAAAATAAATAAGTAACTGGGATGTAATGTATAGCATAAGGAATATAGTCAAAATATTGTAACAACTTGGTATGGTGATAGCTGGTACCTAGAATTATCATGTATATAAATGTTGAATCACTGTGTTGTACACCTGAAACTAATGTAATACTGTGTGTCAACTACCCTTCAATAAAAAATAATTATCTAAAAAAAAAAATTTGCAGAATATACACATAAGATTTGTACATTTTATTATACAAAAATTTCACAATTGTAAACAAATATTGAACTCTAGCTAAAGATATTCCTTCTGAAATATTTAGGTAAATCATACTGCAGTTTACTTTGAAATGCATTTAAAAAAACCATTATGGGTTGATGAATGGATAGAAAGATGAATAGATACATATAATCAAATGTTAATCGTATAGTCTAGGTATTATATATATGAATATTCACTGTAAAATTCTTTTGACTTTGCTATGTATTTGAAAGACTTAATAATAAAGGGTTAGACTCCTATAACTCTATAGCATAAAAACAAATAACCTGATTAAAAAATGGACAAAGGACTTGAGTAGACATCTCCCTACAGAATACAAATATACCATGGCCAACAGATCTATGAAAAGATGTTCAGTATCACTAATCATCAGGCAAATGCAAATCAAAACCACATGCAATATTACCTCACAGTTCTTAGGATAGCTATTATCAAAAAAACCAAAAGATAAGTATTGGTGAAAATGTGGAGAAATTGGAACCTTTGTATGCTGTTGGTGGGACTATAAAATGGTACAGCTTCTGTGGAAAACAGTATGAAGGCTCTTCCGAAAATAAAAAAAAATAGAACTACCATATGATCCAGAGATTCCACCTCTGGATATTTATTCAAAATAATTGAAATCAGGATCTCATAGAGGTATTTGCAGTGTTCGTGTTCTTTGCAGCATTACTCACAATAGCCAAGTTGTTGAAGCACCCCAAGTGCCCGTTGACAGATAAAGGGATAAAATGTGTGTGTGTGTGTGTACAATAGAATACTATTCAGCCTTAAAAAGGAAGGAAATCTTTTGTGCACATGGTGTGTGTGGGGCCACAGGGAAGACAGTATAGCTCAGAGAGGACAAATAGGGACTCTGTGGCATCTTACTACACTGATGGACAGTGACTGTAATGGGGTATGGGGGGGACTCGATAATAAGGGTGAATGTAATAACCACATTATTTTTGTTGTGAAACCTTCATAAGAGTGTATATCAATAATAACTTAATAAAAAAAGAAAAAAAGGAAATCTTGTCATATGCAACAACATGGATGAACTTTGATGGCATTATGTTACATGAAATAAGCCACTTACCAAAGGACAGATATTACATGATTACACTTGTATGAGGTATCTAAACTTGTCAAACTAATAGAAGCAGAGAGAAGAATTGTGGTGGCCAGGGGCTGGGGCTTGGAAATGGGGAGTCATTATTCAATAGGTCCAAAGTTTCAGTTATACAAGGTGAATTAGTTTTAGAGATCTGCTGTACAATGTGTGCCTATATTTAGACATTCTGTATTGTATAATTAAAAATTTGTTAAAATGGTAGATCTCATGTTAAGTGTTTATATCACAATTAAAATATATATATTGGAAAAAATGCATCAATAAGATTTTTCCCTCTATCAATTGTTTCTGATGGGAAGGGGGTTAAAAAGCATTAATTTATTTTTTGACTTGCTTTGGTGCTCTTTACAGTTTAAGTCAGACTCATTATACTACCAAGCAACATGCAGAGAGGCTCATCTAGAGCTTCAGGGAGCCACTTAGACAATATGTAACATATATGCCAGTATAAATGTGAGCAATTTAATTTTCATTAAGCCTATTAAAGGGTTTACAGGTAAGGATAAAAGTAGATTATCTGTTCAAAAAAAACAAAGGAATGTCCTTGATATATTGAGATTCCATGAATAAGAGACCCTAATAGTTCCTAGGGCCTATCCTTTATTTTAATCATTAGTTTTCAGGGCAAGTCAGACCAACTTTTATTAACATTTCTTCTTTAGAATGGGACAGTTTTCAACTTTTTCCTGCCAGGATGCTTTCATCACCTGGACCGCCTTGTCAGCAGCTCCATTCTGTGCACAATTCTCAGATATACAAGAAAAAAATTTCCATTTAAGATGATACTCTTCCAGATATTCCTCTTATAGGTAGGAGTTCCAAGTCGGAGTGGTTATCTCCTTAATTTGGCTGTGTCCCGGGGTAATGGGAAGAGGGGCACAGGGATGGAATTGAAATTTGAAATGTGATTTTTTGTTTTGGCAAGCTCTTCTTCTCAATGCTGTAACTTCATCTAGCACCTCTGAGAGTTTTGTCTTGACAGTAAGGGCATGCTGGCAAAACAAAACAAAGTGAAAAACAATGTTATATAAACTTCAAGCTGGTATGTGTGGTGGGGAGGTGAAAGCCATTCACTTTTTTAAAAGAGTCACTTAATTTTATTGATAAATTAAAATATGATTCATGTTGAACAATAGTAAAGTATGTCAACAATATCAGGAAAATATTGATAACATATTAGGAAATAAATGCTACCTTTTTTGTTACTATTTTTGTCTTGTACAGTTAACAGGTTCTGCCTGATCTCAGCACGCACATTATTATTTCAGGTCCTGTGGGAATGGCCGCTGCTGCTGCTGTGGCAACAGGAAAGAAACGGAAACGGCCTCATGTGTTTGAGTCTAATCCATCTATCCGAAAAAGACAGCAAACACGTTTGCTTCGGTGAGGGCTCCCTTATCCATATTGTTGCTGTTCCTCAAATACTTCATGGGATGGATGGTAGAGGTAAAACATGTTATTAGGTTCACCAAGGATACCAAGCAATATTTCTTGATGACAGAATTAGATTTAAAAATACTCTTATAAAGTTAAGTAAATGAAACTAGAAATATGATTAACAGATATATAATATCACATTAATTGCTTCAGAGTAAATTTATGCCTGCAATGTGCTAGGCATTGTTATAGGTCTTAGGAATATAACAGTGAGGGAAACAAATTCCTTAAGGAGCTCATGTTTTAGAGGAGAGCAAAAGAAAATAAACAAATGTGTCAGATGGTGATAAGTGCTATGGAAAAAACAAAGCGGAATAAGGAAAATAGAATGGTTTGGGGACTGGGGAATATAGTAGTTTCTCTTTTTTTATAGGGATGGTCTACAAAATCCTCTTTGTTGAGGCAACCTTTGAACAGAGACCTAAAGTCAGTGAAAGGGCAACCATTTTGGTGTCTAGAGGAGGAGCTTTTCAGGCAGAGGAAATAGCAAGAACAAAGGCTTTGGAATGGGAAGGAACATGGTGATCATGTTGGAGGAACAGTGAGGGAGAGAGTGAGAGGAGAGGTGGTCAGAGTAATAGTGGAGAGCCACATCATGGAGTCTTTTGGTCAAAGGACTTTGACTCTTACTCTGAGCGAGGTGGAAAGTCAATGAATTCTTTGGACCAAAACATTGTTAAGATCTGACTTAATATTTAAAAGGATCACTTGGGCTGCTGTATTGAGAATAGATTCTAGGGATACAAGAATGGAAGCAGGGAGCTCAATTAGGAGGTTACTATAATAATCCAGGCCAGAAACAAAAGTGTCTTAAACTTACTGTAACAGCAGCAAAGGTGGCAAGAGGTGGTCAGGTTCTGACTATATTTCAGAAATCAACACCATTGTGATTCATTGATGGATTGGATGTGGGATGTGAGAGAGAAAAAGGATTAAAGGGTGACCTCAGGGTTTTTGGTGTAATTACTGGAAGGATTAAGATGACACTTAACTGGAAGAGGAGTAGATAGGGAGTGAGGGTAGGGCAGAATCAGGAATTTGGTTTTGGGCATTTTAAGGTCCATGGTTTGATCCATTTGGTTTCGGATCTCTTAACCATTAAGTGGATATACAGAATAAGCAGTTGGATATATGAGTCTGGAATTCAAAAGAGAGATCTTGGCTGAAGATATAAGCACCAGGTGTGTTTAAAACTATGAGACTGGAAGAAATCACTTAGGGAGTGAATACAGACTGAGGCCTGAGGCACTCTATGCTTTAGAAGTTGGAGAGATGAAAGGAACTAGCAAAGAAATCTAAGAAACAACCAGTGAGTCAGGAGGAAAACTGAGAGTGGTATTCTGGAAATCAAGTGTGATAAAGTGTTTCAAGGAGGATGTGTGATCAACTCTGTCAAATGTTGCTAACGTGTTGGATAAGGTGCAAATTGGCCATTAGATTGAGCAACATGGAGATCATGATTGAACTTCACAGAACCGTTTTCAAAGGAGTACTGAGTATGAAAGGATGGGAATATCTTCAAGAGAGAATTGTAAGAGAAAAATTAGAGACAGTGTATATAGACCATTCCTTTAAGGAATGCTGCCACATTTCTTGTTTGGTATGTGGATATTGGCTCATTTTTATTCTGAAGAATTTGTAGGTTGCCAAGAAAGATTATTACACAGGTGTTGTACATGGAAGACTTAATATTTCAACAGGTTGCACAACATGGATTCATATATAGGATAAGAAATTTAGCCTATAAAATGTTCCAGAAGTTTTTTCGGATAGTATTTTAAACACTGTATCCACATTTTCTAGATGTTTATTGGAATGTTGAATCCAAATGGGGTGGCATCCATGTAAATGATATGTGACAAAAGCTAGAAAATACAGTCTATATTAATTTAAGAAGATTAGAAGAAACTGGAAGAAAAACCCAAAAAGTCCTTAACAGTAGTTTCCAGCAAAGGAAGAGGTTATATACCACTAGATGGTCAGTTCTTCTCATTTCCTTTAATGAAAGTATAGGCAGGAGAAATTAGAATGTATTGTTTGTAGAAATACCTTTGCTATAAGGGTCATAGATACAACAGGACATGGTTTTGGAGAAAGATGGAAAACTTTATTTTAGATATGTTGACTTAGCCTCATTTGAATTGGTGTGACTCACTAGTCCTTTGAAAGTTAGGCCATGTTCCCAGGAGAATTATGGAATGAAGAACTTTAAAATAATCTCCCATGATTTCAGAGGAAAAGAAAAGCATTTCTATTTCATCCAGTGTTGATATATTTGAAAAAGTTCTTTTGCTTCATTCTCATTTGTAAAATACTGCAGGACTGAGAATTATTGTTTACAGCACAATGAAATCTGAAAACAATGTTTTTGAACTAGTAATTTCAGTCAAAGAAATTAGAAGTAGGTAATTTAAGCCTCATGAAGACGTTATAACAACATCTGTAAGAGGGCATCTCAGCATCAGTCTTTATTATTATAAGTAGCAGTAAGAGAAAACCCCTCTGGTATTACCAAGATCAGGAAGGATGATAGTCACTGTGTTCAGCTTTGTGCCATGGCTATGTCCTGAGGTAGTCCTGTAATAGACCCTTATATCAGTGGCTAGTCATTGGTCTTCAGGACAAAACTGTATACGTATTTCTGCTGAATGGGCTATCAAACTTCACACTCCCTTTTTCACATTTCAGGTAAAAGAAAACATTTAATCAGAATAAATTGTCTCAAAGTAAATTTTGTATTTGTGTCACTGCAGTTTCTATCTTCTTAACTGTTTTTATTCTCTTTTCATTCTCTGATTCAGAAAACTTCGAGCCACATTAGACGAATATACTACTCGAGTGGGACAGCAAGCTATTGTCCTTTGTATCTCACCCTCCAAACCCAACCCTGTCTTTAAAGTGTTTGGTGCAGCACCTTTGGAGAATGTGGTAAGAAAACTGAGTTTTGCTTAGATACTCTTTGCTCTCTGTGCATTGTTGCTCACATTCTCTGGATCCTCTGTCTGGCACAATTTCAAACCACATTAATGCAGATCAAAATATAAAGGATCATTTTTGTTTCTGCTTCCCTTGACAAGGTATTTTACCCTACCAGATGCAATGGAAAGAATGGTGTTGTGTTCGCTAAGAAACCACTGCAGGGTTTAAAAAAAAAAAACTACTGATTTATGTCAGAAACGAAATTGTAGATAATTCCAAGATAAAAACTACATGAGGCAAACCTGAGAGCATTTGATTGACTGCTGATACTTGAGTTGCATATTTAAAATCCCTTGCATTTCCTTGAAGAACTGATTTAGCACTCTGCATTTAATTTTGAAATACAGTTGAATATTTGGATTACATACCTATCCATAGCTAACTTTAAAAAATAGCATTTTACCCTCACATATACTTATACCAGGTGAACTACTCTTTCTGTGGCTGAAATAATTTTGAGTATTAGTAAAATTATGATCTGTCTGGATTTAAATGGTATTTTGTTTCTTTTTGTTTTTCTTTATTTTGGTATCATTAATCTATAATTACATGAGGAACATTATGTTTACTAGGTTCCCCCCTTCACCAAGTCCCCCCAACAAACCCCATTACAGTCACTGTCCATCAGCATAGTAAGATTCTGCAGAATCACTACTTGTGTGTTGCACAGCCCTCCCCATACCCCCCACATTATACATGCTAATCATAATGCCCCCTTTCTTTTTCCCCCCCTTATCCCTCCCTTCCCACCCATCCTTCCCAGTCCCTTTCCCTTTGGTAACTGTTAGTCCATTCGTGGATTCTGTGAGTCTGCTATTGTTTTGTTCCTTCAGTTTTTTCTTTGTTCTTATACTCCACATATGAGTGAAATCATTTGGTACTTGTCTTTCTCTGCCTGGCTTATTTCACTGAGCATAATACCTTCTAGCTCCATCCATGTTGCTCCAAATGGTAGGATTTGTTTTCTTCTTATGGCTGAATAATATTCCATTGTGTATACGTACCACATCTTCTTTATCCATTCATCTACTGATAGACGCTTAGGTTGCTTCCATATCTGGGCTATTGTAAATAGAGCTGCGATAAACATGAGATGCATATGTCTTTTTCAAACTGGGCTGCTGCATTCT